TGTTTGCTTCTTTTTAACTTTTTTTTTTTTTTTCTGTGAGACAGAGTCTCACTCTGTTGCCCAGGCTGGAGTGCAGTGGCGCAATCTTGGCTCACTACAACCTCCACCTCCCAGATTCAAGTGATTCTCCTGCCTCAGCCTCCTGGGATTATAGGCACCCACCACCATGCCTAGCTAATTTTTGTATTTTTAGTAGAGACAGGGTTTCACCATGTTGACCAGACTGATCTCGAACTCCTGACCTCGTGATACATCTGCCTCGGCCTCCCAAAGTGCTGGGATTACAGGCATGAGCCATTGTGCCCGGCCCTTTTTAACATTTTCTTCCTTTTTTTTTTGAGACGGAGTTTTGCTCTTGTTGCCCAGGCTGAAGTGCAATGGCAGGATCTCAGCTCACCGCAACCTCTGCCTCCCGGGTTCAAGCGATTCTCCTGCCTCAGCCTTCCAAGTAGCTGGGATTACAGGCATCTGCTACCACCCCCGGCTAATTTTGTATTTTTTTTGAGATGGAGTCTCACTCTGTCGCCAGGCTGGAGTGCAGTGGCATGATCTCAGCTCACTGCAACCTCTGCCTCCCGGGTTCAAGTGATTCTCCTGTCTCAGCCTCCTGAGTAGCTGGGACTACAGGCACCCACCACCACACCCAGCTAATTTTTGTCTTGATCCCTTGACCTCCTGATCTGACTGCCTTACCCTCCCAAAGTGCTGGGATTACAGGCAAGAGCCACCACACCCAGCCTAATTTTGTATTTTCTAGTAGCGACAGGTTTCCACATGTTGGTCAGGCTGGTCTCGAACTCCCAACCTCAGGTGATCTGTCCACCTCACCTCCCAAAGTAATGGGATTACAGGCATGAGCCACCGCACCCGGCCCATTTTCTTCCATTCTATGATTGTCTAGAGAGACACCGCTTTCTCTTGTGAATGCAAATTACCTTAGGTTACTCCTGGGATTTTTGTACTCATCTTCAATTTTCTGATCTTTCCATTTTTTACCTAAAATATAGACGCAGAAAAATAGTCCTGAATTAGTAAAATTATGAAAAAATTACTAGATTCTATGTTCATGGTACACTGTAGCCTTGCTTCATTTATTCATATTTCTATTCCCTGTCCGCCCTCCAAATCACCCAACAGTACTGACAAGCTACAAATACTTGTTCTCTAATTCACTGAGGAAAGTAATGCTGTCACTCTTACCTACAGAAGCCAGGTTCCTGAACGTCTCCTGCATTACATCTCTGTAGAGATTCTTCTGGGAAGGATCCAGCAAAGCCCACTCATCCTGGGTGAAATTCACATCTACATCCTCAAAGACCACTGAATCCTGAAACATCTCACACAGGTAAAGAAACATGGGTGAGATTGACAGCACTGGGTTCCTATACTCTATTCCTACGAAATTCTCATGGTGCTGTGAACTCCAAACATTTATTCCATGATTTGATCCATCAGACTTTTTTTTTTTTGAGACAGAGTTTTGCTCCGATGCCCGGCCTGGAGTGCAGTGGTGCAATCTGCACTCACTGCAACCTCTGTCTCCTGGGTTCAAGCTGTTCCTCCATCTCAGCCTCCCAAGTAACTGGGACCGCAGGCACGTGCCATCACGCACGGCTAATTTTTGCATTTTTAATAGAGACAGGGTTTCACTATGTTGGCCAGGATGGTCTCGATCTCTTGACCTCGTGATCCACCCACCTCGGCCTCCCAAAGTGCTGGGATTACAGGTGTGAGCCACCGCACCCGGCCCCATCAGACTTTTTACTCTGTCAACACTCACTCTCTTCCATAAAGAAATTCTTTTTTTTTTTTTGAGACAGTCTCGCTGTCACCCAGGCAGCGGCATGATCTTGGCTCACTGCAAACTCCGCCTGCCAGGTTCAAGCAATTCTCATGCTTCAGCCTCCCGACTAGCTGGGATTACAGGTGCCCACCACCACACCCAGCTAATTTTTTTTTTT